GTCAGCGTCCACAGCCCTGATCTTGGCCACAAAGTATCCCGCTTCAGCAGTGTAAGGAATGCTCTCTGTATTTACGGATCCCTGGTCCGAATAAGGTGGGAGAATCTGAGGACTGTTGTCGTTCTCATCCACTATAAAAACGTATACAGTCGCATTACTGCTTAGTGGGGGGTCACCAGAATCCGTGGCCTGGATTTGAAAACTGAAAGTTTTTTCCTCTTCGTGGTTAAAAGTCCGCATGCTGTATATATCCCCAGTGACGGAGTTCACGTTTACTGCAGAAGAAACCGGAAGCCCTTTACTGTTACTGTCCAATAATGAATACGTAATTCGAGCATTTTCATTTGAATCGGTATCATAAGCAGTTACGGTTTTTAAAATATCGCCAACTGGACTGTTCTCTTTTAAATAAATGTTAAGATGCTGCTCAGGGAAGCGTGGCGCGTTGTCATTTACATCAGAAATAAATACAGTAATGATGCTGAAGTTGGACAGAGGCGGGGACCCCTCATCAGTAGCTATAATGGTGACATTGTATTGAGGAGTGCTCTCTCTGTCTAGCGGCTGGTCGACTAATAGTGAATAATAGTTCTTGTAAGATTGCTGAAGCCTAAACGATGGAGAGTCTGTAACACGACAGGTTACAGCTCCATTTTTGCCTCCGTCTTTGTCCGACACCGTTATCAAAGCCACCGCTGTTCCGATTTTTGCGTCCTCTCTCACCGCGCTGGTTATTAATGTCACTGAAATCTCCGGAGCGTTATCATTGACATCAATGACTTCAATAAGTACTTTACAATGAGTAGCGCGCGGTGGGTGGCCTTTATCTTTCGCCTGTACTCGGATTTCAATAGCAGCACTTTCCTCATAGTCAATATTTCCCTTAATATTTATCTCACCCGTCTCCGAATTAATTGAAAACATATCCAAAGATTTAACATTTCCATGTTCCACAAAAGAATAGACGATTTCTCCATTTACACCTTCATCTATATCTGTTGCATTTAAACTCATTATTCTTGTGCCATGCGGAATATTCTCTTTAACACTAACTTTGTAGACAGTTTGGGGAAACACTGGATTGTTGTCATTGGTGTCCAGCACAGTAACAATAATTTGCAGCGTGCCAGTTCTCTGAGGCTTTCCTCCGTCAATAGCGGTCAATAGAAGCTGAATCACAGGCTGTTTTTCTCTATCTAAAGCTTTCTGTAGCACCAACTCGGCCGACACACTCCGATCTCCGTTGTTCTGTACATCCAATGAGAAATGTTCATTAGCATTTAGCTTGTAGCTCTTTAGTCCATTGCCCCCCGCATCTGCGTCACGAGCCAGGGGAAGGGGAAACCTATCTCCGGGAAATCCATTTTCAAAAATGTTTATCGAATGATCTCTGACAGGAAATAACGGAAGGTTATCATTCACATCTAAAATATTTATTTCAACACTATGAAGACTGAGCGGATTGTGTGCAATTGCTTCCAAATTAAGGGAACATTTCAAAGCATCTAGACACAGCTCTTCTCTATCGATGCGATCGACAACAAATAATACGCCGGTTTTAGGATTTACCTCGAAATATCTCTTGCTGTTCCCCGATATAATCTGAAACATGCGTGATTCCAGTTGCTGAATGTTGAGATTCAGATCTTTGATTATATTCCCAATGACAGTTCCCGTATTCACTTCTTCCGACACTGAATAGACGATCTGGCCGCGGTATAAATCCATCCAGGACAACAATACCACAAGCTGCACCCAAACGGGTTTCTTTAGCGTCAAAATAAACATTGCTCTTACAAGTTATCAGACGCGGACGTTATTTTTTTTAATCTAAATTATTTTATTTTAGTTTTTGCCTTCTCTGTAAAGCCCATTGGCCCACTGCAGTGGAAGTGCACACCGAAACACAATAGGCGCAGTTCTGCGACCGGAGAGCACAGCTGAGGGTGTAACCGTGGGTATTGCAGCCTTTGTTTTCACAGTCAACAGTGACACCGTGTGTTTAACGATATATGCATATATATTTTTAGAGTTAGTGGCTATTAATCTAAATATCAGCTCATCTTAAAAATGGTAAGTGGCAGGGCATGTCGTGAATGATTCCAACGATACTGATAGGAACCCTAACAAAAATTGGAACACAATAGAATTGCTCTGGGTTGGTCGCCCCATATCATATGCTGTCATCGGGCCCAAAATCTCTAGCGGTTGGTACTCCTGCTTAGTGGATAGCAGAGCCTCAGGGTGTCCTTAGGTCTGCATGTGAGCTGCCACGTGCCTGTACTTTATGTAAGTTATTGAAAGTTACTGTAATTGTAACTTATGTTATTGTAATGGGTGAATAGCTATTGCAAAGGGAAAAGAGGTTTAAAAGGAATTTGTTGAACATGACAATTTTTCCGTGATATCTTTAGTCTTACTTTTTTAACTTCATCTAAATTTCTCTGCAAAGTACAGTAATTTGTTCTACTATAAATATGTTTTCAAAGGCATCCATAGATGTTAATTTTGACCAACTTCAGATACTGTTTAATATGTTCAGGATATGGAAACCTCAAGTACACAACAATTAAATAAATAAATACATAAATACATAAATAAGTAAATAAAGATAGATAGATAGATAGATAGATAGATAGATAGATAGATAGATAGATGACAAGTAATATAGATGATATGCTCCGTGCCACTACAATGGACAGTACTCCACACATACTTCACTACAGTATTTTCTCCTAGGAGGTGCAAGGTGAGAACATAGACACACACACACACACACACACACAAATTTGCAATAAAGTACTGTTAGAAATTGATGTGATAAACACAAGACACATTTTAAAATATAATTTTACAATACGATTTAATTTCAATGACCTTAAAATGTGACCAGTAAAATTTTCATGTGACCAGTAGGGGGTGGAATTGCACCCCCTGCAAGCACCCCCCCCCCCCCCCCATTACAATTACAATTATAAAGTAAACTTTCATAAGCATGTCGATGGAAAATGCATCACTGATTGTATGAAATGTCAGTTGCGGTTCCACATGAGGTTACCATAGAACTTCCAAACTAGCTAAACAGAACACTTTTCCAATAGTCCTTCACTTTAATCCATTGGAAAGAACCAACCATGCTCTTAAAGAACAATATCCATGTAAAATACAACTTCTCTAGGGATAGCATGATAGAGAGTAAATGACAGACAAAAAAAAAACCTGTTAACGTTTGCTAAAGCCAACTTGACAAAGTTATACAACATTTTTGTTGTATGTCTCGGCCTGTTTTTTATATGTTTTTAACATCTATAGACATAATTTCAATAAGGTTCTTATCATTTGGTTTGTATCCTGAAGATCTCCACCTATTTTTGAAGTTTGGCATTTAAATCACCATGCTAATACAGGCTAATCACTTTGACAGAAAAGTGAGAAGCAAAGATAATCATACTGACAAACCATTAAGTAATTTATCATTGCTAAAGCTACACTATTATGTGTAATATGAATCATAATCACTTCATAACTGCTTGTCTAGCAATATTTGTTAAAATAACTGTATACTCTTATGTCACCTGAGTTAAGTGGGACATGCAAGGCACTAATTCACTGGCAGAAGGAAGTAAAATTCGAATCCATCTGAAACTGAAAGCAGACGTATGTCTGCTACCGGAACACACCTCACGCCAGCTGAGCATAAAAAAATCACTTTTCTGTGTCATAGTCATATCAACTAATTGATTAATTAAATGGCACTATTATCCCACAATGACATAGAAGCTGATTCTCTATGATGTTACACCATCCGACAGAGAACACACATGCTGAGGAGGATCATAACAATAAATTAGTCAAACATTTTGAAAATGTAATGAAACATAGTAAGAAAAACAATAAAATCCAAAAGTCATAAATGGTGATTTCAGAATTTATTACAGCAGTTATTATAAAGATGGAAAAGAACAGGACTCATCAGAAGTTGAGACTATTTTAAAGTAAAAGTATAAAGTAGGAGTGCAGGAAAGTCAAAGCAAAGCCCTAGAGTCATTATTCACAGCAGCATATTTTTCAAGTTCAGTTAATCACATGTCAGATAATCCCTCCTGGTCCTGATGGGCACCCCCAGTCTCTTAAATACTTTCTGTCACCTCTCTTGCTATTGCTCATCAAAATGGCCACAGAAATAAAATGTTCTCCACCCATCCCTCTTCATGCACATTCAACTATGATCTCAGAACCGCTAAAACCAAATACCCAGTTCCATTTAGACACCTGTTCATCATTCATCAGCTGTTCATCAGTTATCGATCATTATCATTCATTAATACAGATCTTAAAATTATCAGCACAGCAGCTTGAATCTGTCACTACATCCCTTTCACCGGACAGGATTTATTAACATGCTCCACAAGCAAAACATGTGGTGAGTCTATATTTAAACTAATGAACGTCTCTTCGCATTTATGTCAGTGAATGAGCATAACTATGTCATAAAATCCTCTGCTGCCTTTCACCGTAGGCAATATGAAATATAATTTTATATACATTTCTTCCAGTTTAACAGACTTGTTCACTCTCAACATTACGCCACTGTTAAATGTACTGAAAATGACCTAATGGACAAATTAAGCATTTTCAGTCACTGCCACCAATAGAGTGACAAAATGTCCTAAAATATATTCCTTGTGATGATACTGGCACAACCAGTTACACATTGGTTTAACACTTTAACACACTTGGTCTAACACTAACACTTTAATATCAAAATTTACTGCAGAAACAACAAGTGTTCCATAAAACTAAAAACTTTGCAAAAAGACTAAACTTTCATCATTGTACCTGGCAAATCAGCTACAATATTTATCCAAAGGCATCTGTAAGGGCTGGAGAAGAGCTAGATAAATTAGATAACAAGGGCACTCCTGATGGGGAAATTGGGGACAGGTGTCCAATGTTATATTAAGGCAAGGTGTAGGAATATAAAGTTTGGCCTTACACCTCACTTAGGAGCTAGAGCTTCTAGTAGGTAAATGGGGGTTATGGTAGTAAGTCCTAGAGATCATTGGGTTCTAAGAGCTCTATATAAGTTGGGGGGGGGGGTTACAGATGGTAGAGCGGGAGTTTAGGGTCTGTAAGTGCGGTGACCAGGAACTCTATCCTGACCGTAATCTGCCTGTGATTTGTGTGGGGTAGCATTTTAAAGGGGCTTAACTATTGTGGGCATGGGGCAATGTCCTATTGGGGATTGTGGAGGTTAGCCTTGGATTAGAGCCTGTGACCTGTAGGGTTGGGGCTGTGGTCCATGAGGATCTACTGAAGCTGGGGTCCACTGTTGAAGTTTGGGGTATAGTTGGGCCAGCTTCAACTATAAGTTATAATTTCAGGGAATCCATAACCACAGAGAATAGTTGCAGATAAATCAAACAGGATGAGAAATATCCCTTGCTGCCAAGTCTTAAAACGACAAAATATTTTGATTCTTTTTCAACTTATACAACATTAACAGTTTAGTGGAATTATTCAAGTTTGTTATAACCCCAGCATACATACGCCAATATAGCACTGCACAGACTTCTTAAAATATGAGACACCACTTACACCAGGTCTTCAAAAACAATTCATTCATTAGCTTTCAGGATCTGGATAAGAAATATGCCACTAGGAAAGTATAATATCTATAATATTAATATTACTACTGAGAACATGAAAATTTGAGAGGTTAATGTTACTATTCAAAGACAATAAAATGTGAATATTTTTGTTGTATTGTACATCAGATGTAGTTGTAATCTGCCTTTTATGGATTTTGCAAAGTATCTGTGCATATCAGAAGCCTGTCCTACGCGGCCAGCAAGCATCTATCCACTCTGCCAAGCTTCAGCACCACGGACAGAGCCACAAGCGCCAGTTATTGTGACAGCCACACACTACTGAAAAAACGCCAAACATTCCAGGCCCATAAGCTGACTGAGGAATGGAAGCAACGTTTGAGATGGACTGTAAGTCTTAAGTTTGGTAGTTCGGGGACTGGCTACGTGTCTGATCAGTGGCAATCAAGTTTAAGGGGCATCAAATCTGTAATTTATATGTGTGGCTACATGCCTGACAAACACTCAATTTTCATACTTGAACATTAAAGTAATTAGTTTCTTATTAGTAATTAGCTACTATACCATCTAGCGCTCTTCGCTTAAAAGTTTAAGTGTTGCTACAACGATCTACAGCTAAAACCATCTCCACACTACAATCATACCCATTTTATTTCTCATATTTTTGATATATCTTACCATCCTTTCATATCTTCTATATCTTATGAACCAACCCTCTTCACCAACTAACTAGAATTAAAGATATACTGGTAATCACACAAGATTGTCCCCACAGACATACTGTACACCAGCCTTGAGGGGTGGTCAGCTGACCTTGCTGCGCTGCTCCCACAGCAGCCCCAGACCTCAGGAAAATTCAAGCCAGTGCTTGTTACTTACAAAGCTTAAGTTTGCCATAGAGCAAATGAATGCACTAATAGCAAATTAAGTTTAAATGTCAAGTGCACAGTTTCATGGTAACAAGGCAGAATTAAAGAACATGTAATTTTATTACAAAGGACCAACTACTATACAACAGGCTTCTGCTCATTGGTCTTCTACTCTACCTTTTGCATTCTGCGAGGAAGACAAACCAATGGTTTGAAACTTGAACTTCATATGCAAATAGTAATATTTACATATAGGTAAATAAATATGGTAGGTAAAAAAGCTAAAACCCATCTATGATAGTTGTTGTGGATTAGAGGGGCAGTGCTGATCCAAGCTGCTGGGCCCAACCAGTGCTGGGTCCAGAACAAAACCACTAATGGTGCACAATCCCTGCAACCATGTCACAGCCATGGACTGATTGGCTCCCACCTGAGGGTGCACGTCATTAAGGGTGATGTGCACCTTTGGGCACCCCTGCAAACCAAATTATGGGCCCAAGGGTGTAGATTTGTATACAGACAGTAGACTCATTTCCCTACCAATATTGTGGGAATTCTGTGTATGTTTATGGGGACAGTGGGTTCAGAGATGCTTGGATCATTACCAGTGTTGAATCCAAACCTATGCGCTTGTCCGGGACCAACCTATAGAAATGAACAGGGCCACACTGAAGGATCTTATGATTAAATAGAATTACAACCAGGAATTAAAGATTACATTTCCAAAACTCACTGAGTCCACAGGATACGTTTGTAAGTAAATAACATTTCTGTGGATTAGGGAGTTTTGTAAATTAATCAAAAAGTTCTTTGTTGGATTACATGAGGAATTAGTGAGTTTCGGTTCCCAGTACTGTAATGGCACAATGACAAGGTGCCAACCCATCACAGGGTGCGCGCGCACACACACACACACACACACACACACACACGTTATATGGATGATTTGGCAACAAAACTGCACATATATGCTCAAAATAAGAAAGGAGTGAGATTCCTCAAAACATGTTAAGATACAACGTGCTGGGAACTGATTAAACAGAAAAAAACATGAGAATCACTACATTTAAATAAAGATCACATTACCTACATTTTATACCAATAAGAGAATGAAATAGCAAATGAAAAATTCTTACCTTCTCAGTCTTAGGCAAGGTCTGATTTTTTTCAAGAGTATCAGTGCCATTAATACTTATCAGATCCACATCTG